AAGCAGCAAGAAAGGAGACAAAAGAGACAAAGGAGACAGCACAAAGAAGCAGCAAGAAAGGAGACAAAAGAGACAAAGGAGACAGCAGCCAGCACTGACTAAGTCCTGTTCAACACGCGGCCCCGCTCTCTTCTGAGAAAACACACACACGCAAATAAACGAGGATTTAGGGTTTAGGGTTTAAGGGCTGGGGTTTAGGGTTTAGGGTTTAGCACTTGGGGGTTTAGGGTTTAGGGTTTGAGGCCTGGAGATGAAGCGCAGGAGACAAAGAAAGAAGAGGGATCGGCAAATGAATAAAAGGAGACAGACAGATACAGACAGACAAAGACAAATAGAGACAGAGACAGGCAGAGACAGACAGACAAAGACAAACAGAGACACAGACAGACAGACAGACAGAGGCAAACAGAGACACAGACCGACAGAGACACAGACAGACAGAGACAAGTAGAGACAGAGACAGAAACAGCGACAAATAGAGACAGAGACAAATAAAGACAGAGGCAAATAGAGACAGAGACAGACAGAGACAGAGACAAACAGAGACAGAGACAAATAGAGACAAAGGGAGAGAGACTGAGAGAGATAGACAGATAGAGACAGAGACAGACAGAGAGAGGTTGGGAGAGAGACAGACAGGGACACAAAGACAGAAGGAGACAGAGACAGACAGAGAAGAGACCAATGGAGACAGAGACAGCGTCGAGTCAAACGAATGTCTGCAGATTCCAAAGGAGACACGTGAGACCCTAAACCCTAAACCCTAAACCCTAAACCCTAAAAAAGACAACAAAGAACAACACAAGGCAATAAAAAGGAGACAGTCAGAACTTACTCCTGTCTCCTCCTCTCCTATATCCAGCTTCTCGAGTTGCTGCTGCAGGTACTCGGGAAGCGGCTGCTGCGGCTGCAGAGAGAAAACCAAAACCCTAAACCCTAAACCCTAAACCCTAAACCCTAAAACCTAAGGCCTACACCCGAGACGCTCAACGCAGGGACGACATGATGTTGCGGGTGCTATTATTGCTGCTGCATCTGCCGCTGCGTAGTGTTGCTGCTGCTGCTGCTGCTGCTGCAGCTGTTGGGGCATATGCTGCTAAGGGGATTCAAGGCGAAGGGAGGAGCTTCCAGAAGCAGCAGCAAGCAGAGTCAGGTGCAGCAGCAATTGCTGCAGCATGAGTAGCAGCAGCAGCAGCAGCAGCTCACCTTATTTCTGGCATTGGGGGGTATAACTCGCTGCAGCTGCATGCGAGGTCTCTGATGTGCTGCTGCTGCTGCTGCTTGCTCCCGCAGCTGCTGCTGAGACACAGGCAGCAACTTGAAGGTAAAGGTGTTTGGGTCATTCTTCTGAAAGCGGACCTTGCGGCTCTTTCCCTGCTGCTGCTGCTTTCCTGCTGCTGCTGGTTCTGCTGCAGCGGCTGCTGCATCACTATGCTCAGCTGCTGCTTCTGCTGCTGCTGCTGTATCACCCTCGGGGGCCTCGTGGGGAGGAGCCCCCGAAGCAGACGCAGTTTGTTTCGGCATTTGTCGCGGAAGGTGATGATGAGGCACGCTGCTGCGGCTGCTGCTGCTGCAGTTGCTGCTGCTGCTGCAGCACTTGCTGCTATGGCTGCTGCTGCTATTCCCTTGTGGATCTCTACAGCAGCAGGAGAGGCAGGCAGTCGTTGTTCCCTACAGAAGGCTAAGCCCCAAAGTGCTGTTTCTCAGTTGCTGCAGCAGCTGCTGCTGCTGCTGCGGCTGCTGCTGCTGCTGCTGCTAAACCCCCCTTCTTCCTTTGCTGCAGCAGCTCCAGGTAAGCAGAATTATGAATAGGCATCAGAAGAAGCTGCTTTACTTCCTTAACATCTTCTTGGCTTTCCTAGACTTCTTTTGGGGCTTTCCGTGTGGGACAAGGGCAGCAGCAGCAGCCGCTGCTGCTGCTGCTGCATGCACGAGCATCAGCAGCAGCAGCAGCAGCAGCGGCTGCTGCTGCAGCACGCAAGGCAAGAAAGGCTAGACGTGTAGACTGCAACAAGAAGTTTAAGGTTTCTTTTCAATTGCCAATTTTATTATTACATAATAACTGCTTCCTCTCTAGCCGATCGCAGCAGCAGCAGCAGCAGCAGCAAGTGTGGCAGCAGCCGTGGTTGTTGCTGCTGCAGCAACAGCGCAGCAGCAACAACCACACACAGAGCAGTGTCCTCGTCTCCTTCTGCTGCTCTTTGAGCTTTAAATTCATCTGGATTGAAGCGTATGGCTTCTCTTGCTGCCTCACCGAGGTGGAAGGCTGCTGCTGCTGCTGCTGCGCCTGCTGCAGCAGCAGCTGCAGCCGCAGCAACAGCTAGAGCAGTGACAGCAGCAGCAGCAGGGATTGGTGGAACCTCAGCAGCAGCCGCAGCACAACGGCAGTTTGCTGCTGCCCCTGCAAGACATACACCGATCGTGCCCAGCAGCAGCAGCGAGCGGCCCTGTGCTGCTGCTGCTGCACTTGCTGCTTCTCTCCCAGTATGCAGCATGAGGTTTGAGAGGCTGCTGCAGCAAAGGAGCGCCTGCAGCAGCTGCTGCTGCAGCAGCAGCTGCAGCAGCAGCAGCAGCAGCAAGTACTTCGGCGTCTGGAGGCGTCACTTCGCTGGGGGCGCTACGAGGCCTCGATCCATTGAGGCTTCTTTCGGTGAGGATACCGCAGCAGCAGCAGCAGCTGCTGCTGCTGCTGCTGCTGCAGCACCAGAAGGAGCAGCGACAGGAGACTCAGAGACCCTGCTGCTGCGCTGCAGCGAGCAACCCAATTACCACCTGTTTGCTTCGGCCTCCGTTATCTCTAGACTGCAGCACGTGTGGCAGCGGCGCAAAGCTGCTGCTGCTGCTGCTGCTGCAGATGGAGCAACAGCAGCAGCAAAGCCAGCAGCAGCAAACTGTCTGGGGCTAAGAGTGCAGGTCTCAGGTGGAGGCTGCAGCGGCTACCGATACTCTTTTGCGGTGGTAACCCTAGAAGAAGCAGAACGAGACGGAGATCTGTAAACCCTAAACCCTAAACCCTAAACCCCTATTACTAAACCCTAAACACTCGCACTTGTGACGGTTTGGGGCACAGTCTGATAGCACCGTACTGCTGCGTTCCTTTCAAGTGTACGAGCCTTAAGGGTTTAGGGTTTAGGGTTTAGGGTTTAGGGTTTGTCTGTCTGCTTCCTTTTTTCTGCAGGATCTTCCGGTGGAGCCCTGACTCGACCAACAGCAGCAACAGCAGCAGCGGTGACAGCAGCATGAGCAGCCGCAGCACAAGCAGCAGCAGCAGCAGCAGCAGCAGCAGCAGGAGTGAGTACGGTGGTTTTGATTGGTTTGTGTGTTTGCAGCCGACTGCGCTGCAGTTGGTTTCTGAGGGCAGCTGTTTATCTTTTGAGTCTAACTTTGCTGCTTCTTTCTTCGTTCTTAGAGGCAATAAAAAAGCGTCTACTACCTGCAGCTGCGGCCACTCCTTTGGCATTGATGTGCCCTTCTAACCTCCTGCTGCTGCTGCTGCTGCTGCTGCTGATGTAGAGGTTGCTGCTGCAGAGGCTCTTGCAGAGGCAGGCGTGGCTGCTGCTGCTGCAGAGTGTGCTGCAGAGCTAGCTGCTGCTGCTACTGCAGAGGCTGCTGCAGAGGTGGCTGCTGCTGCTGCTGCAGAGGCTGCTGCAGAGGTGGCTGCTGCTGCTGCAGGGCGATGCAGCGCAGCGCGAGGGCTCTCTAGGCCGTAAACCCCGACGCTGTAAACCCTAAACCCTAAACCCTAATTTGTTTTGGCTCATTCTTCTTTATCTGCTCCCCGTAGCTGCACTGTGCTGCAGCAAATCTAAACCCTACCCCTAAACCCTAAACCCTAAACCCTGAATTGCGGGGTAGGGGGTGCCCGAGCTGCAAATACACCCCAGCCTTACATTGGACTGCAGCAGCAGCAGCAGCAGCAGCAGGTCCTGCCTGGAGGGTCTTGATAGCTAGAGAGATGCAGTGTCTAGACAGCAGAAGCAGCAGCACTGCACAGCAGCATCTGCTGCTGCATTAGCTATGAAGTGTTTCGGGCCTGCGCAGCCCTACCTCAGGCCTTGCAGCGAGAAGGCTAAACCCTAAACCCTAAACCCTCTACTATTTAAGGCATTGACAACTGCCGCCTCGTGCTGACAAACCCTAAACCCTAAACCCTCTGCTTTCTAAGCCAATTGCAACTGTCTCCTTGATACTTCCTAAGTGCTGCAGGGTCTCTTGTCTCTGTCTCCACAGCCCGGCGGGCCTAAGGGAAGCCCCTGGATTAGGGTTTAGGGTTTAGGTTTAGGGTTTAGAGCTTGGATGCGGTAGCCGCCGCCTCCCTGTATAATCTTTTGCCCGCAGTTAGCAGCAGCAACAACAGCAGCAGCAATGCTGCTGCTGCTGCTGCAGCTGCTGCTACAGGTAGAGGGTGTGCACTGCTGCCTGCAAGATGTGTATGCGTGAAGTTTTGGCGGCACCTCGGCTGTATGTACAGCTGAAGAGACATTAAAATGCCTCTGCATGCATAAATAAACAACGTAGCGATGCTGCTGCTGCTGCAGAGCAGCAGGGTTTGTGTGTGCGCTGCAGCAACAGAGTTTTAATTATATTTGTCTAAGGCTTGCTGCTTCAGCTTCCTCTCCCAGTGTATAAACAACATATATCATTTAAAGTTATGCTTTTTTTGCTGCCCTCTCACCACCGCCGCATGCAGGTCGGGGCTGCAGCCGCAGCAGCAGCAGCAGCTGCCGCTGCTGCATGCACTGCTGAGGCCTGCAATATAAAACAACAATTTAGTTGAGTTTATTTGTTTATAAGTTAATAAATGCCATGAGGCGCAGCAGCCTCAAAGGGCTAAACTACTTGCAATGTAGCTGAAGCTGCAGCAGCAGGGCCCGCTGCAGCAGCAGCAGCAGCGGGTACTGCTGCTGCTGCAACACGAGCAGCAGCAGCACAAGCAGGTGAAGCTGCCCTCGCGACACCAACGCGGCAGGCTATCCCAGAGAACCCTGCAGCAACAGCAATACCAGCGGCAGCAGCAGCAACAACAATAGCAGCAGCAGCAGCAGCAGCAGCAGCAGCAGCACACCTTCGCGCCTGGCCCTGTTGCTGAGGCCCCCTCTGAAGCCGCATATCTGCTGCAGCACGGCGTCACCACCAGGCAGAGCAACACCGTCGTTGACAGCCTCAGCAGTAGCCGCGGCAGCAGCTGCTGCAGCAGCCGCAGCAGCAGCAGCAGCAGCAGCAGCAGCAGCAGCAGCAGCAGCAAGTGAAGATGAGCGGATCTGCCTCAGGGCGCGGAGGCACCCAGTTGTCTTACCCCACAAATGAAGACATGCAAATAGGTCGGAGCTGCTTCTTGCAGCTAGCAGCAGCACTAGAAGCAGCAGCAAAAGGAAAGAACCTTAGCAGCTCTCTTGAGGCATTCAAGTGGTCTCTAAAGGGCCTGCAGGATGTGGCGAAGCTGCTGCTGCTGCTGCTGCAGCAGCAGCAACGCTGCAAGGTGCTTCTTTCGCATGCACTGTGGGCTACTGCTGCTGAGAAAGTTGCTGCTGCCTGCAGCAGCTATATCAATGAATTTCTTCCCCAGATGTTGATGCTGCATGCAGCCGAAGCGCAGCTGCTGCAGCAGCAACAGCAGCAGCAGCAGCAGCAGCAGCCCGTAGGGCAGCAGCAGCAAATGGTGCAGCAGCAGATGCTAGAGCTCGCTAGAGAGCTGCAGCTGCTGCAGCTGCGATTTATTCATCATCTGCTGCAGCAGGACCCAAGAGCAGCACCTGTCTGTGCTACTCCGCTTGCTCAGATCCTCACTATGCACAGCAGCATCTGGTATAGCAGCAGCAGCAGCAGCAGCAACAGCAGCACCAGCAGCAGCAACAGCAGCAGCAGCAGCAGCAGTAGTAGTAGCAGCAGCAGCAGCCTCCGGCTGAGTGTTGTGACAGCAGCATTCGATGTGCTGCAGGCGTGTGGGGCGAGGCTGCTGCAGGAGACACTTGCTGCAGCAGGCTGTCTAAGCAGCAGGGGCAGTGCTGCAGTAGCAGTGAGTCTCCAAGCTCTTATAAACCCTAAACCCTTAAACCCTAGACCCTAAACCCTTAGATCTTAAACCCTAAACCCTTAACCCTGGGACCCAGCCAACAGAGCACATCCTAGCTCTCAGCACCTTCAGCTACTGCTCGCATGCACCTAGAAACCCTAAACCCTAAACCCTAAACCCTCAGTTAGGGTGTGCGCAGCGTGCGGCATAAGTTCTTTCCACACTCCCTAGTTGAGCCTCGGTCTGATCTGCTGCTGCAGCTGCTTCTGCTGCTTCTGCTGCTGCTGCAGGACTACGTTGGCGGCGCGGCTGCATGCACTCGGGGCTTTGCTGCTCTCAGCAGCATCCGTTCGCATGTTAACGAGTTGCTGCTGCACCTGCCGCTTCTGCTGGCTCCGTCTGCTGCTGCTGCTCCTGGTGAGCAGCAACAGCAGCAGCAGCAGATGCGCGCTGCTGCCGCGAAGTGCATGCGTTGCTGCTTGTCTGTTGTTGCTGCTTGGGCTGAGATACTGCATCCCCTTGCAGAGGAGTCTGGGGCTGCTGCTGCTGCAAGCAGGGGGCAGCAGCAGCAGCAGCAGCAGGGTTTGCTGCTGCTTCCCGAAGCAGCGCATGCAGAACAGCTGCTGCGACACACTGCAGCAGCATGGGAAGAGGCCGACACTCAAGTGCTGCTGCTGCTGCTGCTGCAGCCACCCCACACGCATGCGGATCCTCCAGCCGCTCGTGCAGCTGCAGCAGCGGGTGCCGAGTCGCATGCAGACGGTGCTGCTGCCGCAGCAGCACCGACAGAAGCAATGAAGAAGGTCATAATAAACCCTCTGGTGTATGGGGAGGTGGTGCAGACAGCTGTTTGGATCTGCTGCCGCCTGCCGCAGCGGCTGCGCCGTTTCTTGCAGCCCCTTATTAAAGTTGCAGAGACACTGCATTCAGCATATCGGCGTGTTGCTGCTGCTGCTGCTGCTGCAGAAGCTCCTGGGGAGCCTGAGGCCTTAACGGCAGCACAACTTGCTGCTGCTGACGGTAAAGACTGTGGGATTCACTGCGTTGCAGCAGCAGCAGCAAGCAGCGGTGGCGCTGCTGCCGTTCATGCACTGGTGCTGCTGCTGCAGCGGGAGGGTTTGCGGCTGTTAGCTTCCCCTCGCTGCTCCCCAGCTGCTGCGCTGCTGCTAATTGAAGCAGCAGGGAGGCGGGCACCTGCTCGCGTGCTGCAGCAGGAAGCAAACGCAGAGTTTCAGTGGATGTGGGCCACCAAGCAGCAAGACGACGACAGCAGCAGCAGCAGCAGCAGCAGCAACGGCGATGTGGCATTCGGGGAAGCATTTGCTGCTGAGGAGGGGATTCAAAAGAAGCGGCGCATTACACAAGGCAGCAGCAACAGCAGCAGCAGCAGCAGCAGCGCAAGGGAGGAGAAGGATGGGGAGCTGTCTGCTGCAGCAGCGCTGCAGAGTGTTGCTGCTGCATCTGCTGCTGCTGAGGCTGCATCCCGCGTGCTGCTTGTGGCTGAGACAGATGGGGGAGCATGGAGGTCTCAGGAGCAGCAGGCAGATGCAGTTGCGCTGCTGCTGGAGACCTACAACCCTCAGCGACTAACCTCGTTGCTGCTAGAAGGGCTGCAGCGCAACAGCAGCAGCAGCAGCAGCAGCAGCAGTGGCAGTCGCAGCAGTGTTGTTTCTGCACGCGCCTGCATTCCAGCGATGGAACTGCTGCGGGCCGCCGAGGCGAAGCTGCAGCAGGAAGGCAGCAGCACCAGCAGCAGCAGCAACAGCAGCAGCAGCAGCAGTGACAGCGCAGCAGCAGGGGCCGCCTCTCGAAGCTGCTGGAGTTTGCTGCCTTCTCTCTTTGCTGACGTCTCTCCACAACCCACTGCAGAAGTCTGCTGCGAGGTGCGCCGATTGGCTCGGGCTACAAGAAGCTGCTGCTGCTGCTGCTGCTGCTGCTGCTGCTGCTGCAGGATTAAGCAAAGGGGGAAAGAGCCTCAGACGCAGCGGACGGAAAGCAGCAGCAGCAGCAACAGCAGGAGCAGCAACGGTTTAGCATCTCAGTGCAACGGATTTGAGAGCCGTGTGTTGATTCTGGTGCTGATGCTGTTGCTCCTGCTGTTGCTGCTGCTGCTGCTGCTGCTGCAGGAGACAGATGATAACACCTTGGCTTGCATGTCTCCTCGTTCTTTGTCTCCTTCTCCGGAGGCTTATATGGAGCTGCTGGCTTCTCAGATCCTTAGTACGTTCGGTGTGCTGCTGCTGCTGCTGCTTCTGCTGCCGTTGCTGCTGCTTGTGCTCTGGCTGCTACTGCTGCTGGCGCAATTACCGCTGCTGCAGCTGCTGCTGCGCGTGTCTCCTGTCTCCTGCGCAGGTGGGCCCCTGCCGGAGTGTCTCCCTGGGAGTAATGTCTACGTCGATCGTCTCTTATTCCTTCAGGTAGGGTTTAGTAGATAATGAAAGTTTGCTGCTTCTCTCTCAGTGCTGTTGCAGCAGCAGCAGCAGCAGCAGCACGAGTCTCAACCAGAAACTCAGTCCCCCGTTGCTGCTACCGTTAGTGCTGCTGTTGCTGCTCATACTGCTTCTGGTGCTGCTGCTGTTGCTGTTGCTGCTGCTGCTGCTGTTGCTGCTGCAGTGGAGACAGCAGATATTTCTGCGACTGGCTGATCGAACGGAGGAGCCAATGAAGAGCTCGCTGGTCCTTCGCGCTGTTGAAGCGATATATCAGTGAGTCTCCTTGGTGTCTCCTTTGTGTCTCCTTTGTGTCTCCTCTCCCTGCTACTGTCTCCCTTGCTGTTCCCTTCCTTGCTGCTTCTGCTGCAATAGCAGCTGCTGCAGCTGCTGTGGTGCTTCAGCCCTAATATAAGGGTTTAGGGTTTGGGGTTGCGTGCCTAGGGTTTAGGGTTTAGGGTTTAGGGTTTGGGATATGTTTGTTTGTTGGGTTTAATCCTCAGGAAAGAAAACCCTCTTCAAGTGTCTCCGCAGGTTGGTTGCTGTTGAAACCTGTCCCTGCATCACTGTCGTGCTGCTGCTGCAGCGGCTGAGGTTGCTGCTGAAGCCTTCGGTGTTGTGTTGCTGCTGCAGGGCAACAGCCGCAGCAACAGCAGCAGCAGCAGCACGCCCTTGTTCCCGCTGCAGGCGAAGTTGGCGCTGTCTCTCGATTTGCTTTTTTTCCTTTCGAGCCGCAGCTGCAGCACTCCGCTGCAGCAGCAACAGCAGCAGCCACAGCCCTCTGCAGCAGCTGCAGGAGGAGCAGCAGAAGCAGCAGCAGGCTCTGTAGAGTCTCCTCTAACTCTGTCTCTTCTGCAGCGAACCCCAGAAGGCATCGAAGGGTGGTGCCCTTGGAGCGCGTGCATGCAGGGCCAGAGGCCTTTGACGCCTTATGAAAAGGCCTTTGTGCAGTGTCTCTCCAGGGCCTACAGCCAAGAACTCTTAGATGACACGTACTGCTTCCACACCTGCTGCTGCTGCTGCTGTTGTTGTTGCTGCTGCTGCTGCTGTGTGCATGAGCTGCAGCTTCATTTGCTGCCTGCGGTGCTGTTGCAGTCGTTGGGCCTTTATAGCGGGGGAGTTGGGCTCGATTCCCGTCGTAGACCACTCCGCTGCTGCTGCTATTGTTGCTGCTGCTGCTGCTGTTGTTGCTGCTGCTGCTGCTGCAGGGGACTACGCGCTGCGTACAGCCAGCTCATGGGACGTTTCCTTGTTGCTGCTCCGTTGGTGCCTCCTTCTGTCTTTGCTTTCCTCGCGTGGCTGGCAGACGGAGCTCCCCCTCCAGGAGCAGCAGCAGCAGCAGCAGCAGCTGCTGCTGCTGCTGCTGCCTCTGGTGCTGCAGCGGCACCGGCAGACACGCAACAGCACGAGCAGCAGCCCGACGCTGTGCCAGCATCGGCTGCTGCTGGCGCAGGGGCAGTCGAAAAAGGCATTATGCAGGTTTGCGGGGAGCAGCAGCAGCAGCAGCAGCAAGTGCAGCAGCAACAACAGGAGCTGCAGCAGCAGCAACAGCACCAGGAGCTGCAGCAGATGCAGCAACAGCAACAGCAACAGGACGTGCAGCAGCAGCAGCAACAACAGCAGCTGGAACTGCAGCAGCAGCAACAGCCACAGGAGCCGCAGCAGCAGCAACAACATCAGGAGCTGCAGGCGCAGCAGCAGCAGCAGAAGCAAGAGGCGCCGTCCGCTACAGCAGATTTGATTGCAGGCTGTGGCCTTCGCGAGGGGCGCAGCATGAAGGCGCTGTCTAACGACAGGCGGCTGGTGGTTGCTGCTTTGTCTCAACTTATTCGAAGGAGAAGCGGGTTATCGTCTCGCCGGTATGCTAAACCCTAAACCCTAAACCCTAAACTCTCATGCAAGAGCCTCAGAGGCTTCAGACGCTGCTGCAACACCTGCTGCTGCACGTGCGACTGCTGCAGCAGCATGCAGCATGCAGGTTGGAAGCCGAAGACGCTCAGGGCTTTCCTGCTGCTCCTGGTGCTGCTGCTTCTCCCGCTATTGCTACTTCTGCTGCTGCTACTTCTCACACTGTTACTACTTTTGCTGCTGCTGCTGCTACTGTTACTGCTGCTGCTGCTGCTGCTGCTGCTGCAGGACTGCGTTTACGCTGCTGATGCGTCTGTGCCACGTGAGTTCTTCGGGTTGTCGTCGATTATTTGCACGTCTTTTTGCATCGACGAAGGGTATCTATGCCCCTCCTGCAGATCCTTGGGAGCAGCAAACCAGCAAGGAGGTCTTGCTGCGCTGCAAAGCCTCACCCGCTGCTCCTGCTGCTGCTGCTGCTGAGGCACCAGCAGCAGCAGAAACGACTGTACGCTGCCCTCCAGGAGCCCCGCTGTGGCAGATGCCCGCGCTGGTGCTGCAGCAGACAGGGTTGGGGGCGCTGCAGCATCCGCCGCAGCAGAAGCACAGCGAAGTAGCAGCAGCAGCAGCAGCTGCTGCTGCTGCTGCTGCTGCTGAGGGGGCAACGCCTAGAGTCGTTCCTATGGAGGAGTTGCAGGGCTGGGGGGCCCCCGAGACATTCTCCGGCCGCTGGGTGGAAGAGGTGGCTTGTCTTGTCTTCGCGTGAGGGTTTAGGGTTTAGGGTTTAGGGTGTAGGCGTTACATGCAGGGTTAAGGGTTTAGAGATTTAGGGGTATGCTTGGTAGTTGGAGATTCATTCGTAGACAGACATAGAGCTGCTTCTGCGAGCTTACATTCGCTGCTGCTGCTGATGCTGCTGCTGCTGCTGCTGTTGCTGCTGTTTTCCTCTGCAGCTCGACGGGAGGGCCGGGCGCGGTGGAGACGCTCTTAGGGCTGATGCGCTGCAACGCGTTTCCTGCTGCTGTTGCTGCGGCTGTGCTGCGGGAGGTTGCTGCGGTTTCAGGTAGGAAAATGCTGCTGCGACTGCTGCTGCTGCTGCTGCTACTGCTACAGCTCTTGTGGTGTGAGGCAAACTGATATGGGTTTCTTTTCAAATGAATATTTACATCGATGCTGCACTTGTTGCTGCAGCAACTGTCTCTAAGGATACCTGGTGTTTGTGGTGGTTTGGTGCTGTCTGCTGCAGATGCTGCAGAAGCAGCTGCCTCCACGGCAGCTGAAGCAGCAGCAGCTGCTGCTGCAGCAGCTGCTGCTGCTGCAGCTGCTGACGAGACCGCAAAAACAGCTAACGAGGCCTCGGGAGGCTCTGCAACGAACGGAGAAGCACCCGATGCAGCAGCAGCAGCAGCTGCTGCTGCTGCTGCTGCTGCTCGCAAGGCAAAGGCCGCAGCGAGTGCTGCAGCATTCGATATGCGCAGCAGCGTTTTTGGTGTAATTGCGTCAAGGAATCCTTTCTTGCTGCACCTGTTGCTGCGTGTTGCTGCTTCCTGTACGGACACCGAGGCGCTGCAGCGCCACGAGCAACTGCTGCTGCAGGCAAGTTGCTGCTGCAGCACCACCGGTAGCAGCAATTGCAGCAGCAACTGCAGCAGCAGCTGCTGCAAACAGTAGCTGCAACGCAGCAGATGCAACAAATGCCTAAATGCTGCTTGTTCATTGCTTCTTCCTTCTCAGGTTGTAAAGCAAATCAATAACTTATACCATGAGGTGTATCCGCAGCTAGTAGAGGTGAGAGAGCAGCAGAAGTGCTGCTTCTAGACAGCAGCAACAGAACTAGTGGCAGGCGCAGCAGTTGCAGGAGCAGTATCAGTATGGATTGCTGGCTGCATCCGTGCGTTTGTTGCTGCAGCTACTGCAACCGGAGCAGAAGCCGTTGCTGCTGCTGCTGCTGAAGCATTTAGCAGCAGCAACAGCAGCAGCACTGCAAAGGGGGGAGCATCTGCCAGCGCAGCTGCTGCAGTCGGCCTGGACAGCATTTGAGACCCACAGAGACTTCTCGCTTGTAGCCCCTCTGCTGCCTTTCTTCACTAGGTCCGTGTGCTGCTGCTGCTTCTTCCGCTGCTGCTGCTTCTGCTGCTACTGGAGCTGCTGCTGCTACTGGAGCTGGTGCTGCTGCAGGTGCTGCTGCTGCTGCTGCAGGTGTTTCGGCGGATTGCTAGCGTTGCTGCCGTGTTTTCATGGTTGTTGCTACGTGCTTGTCTGCGCATGTGCTGCAGCGAACAGTGCCAGGCGTACATACAGCAGCTGCTGGTTTCTTCTGAGGATATGTCTTTGGTGTCATCCGTCTTTACTGACCTCATGCGGTCTCGAGCTACGTTCAAGCAGCTGCAGCAAAAGCAGCAGCAGCAGCAAAAGCAGCAACAGAGGGCACTGGACTTCGGCATATCTCCAGAAGATTTGTTGCTGTGTACATACAACCTTCCATGCCCTTCTGGTCAGTCCTGTGGTTGTGCTGCAGCAGCACCAACAGCAGCAGCAACAGAAGCAGCAGCAGTACCGGCAATAGCACCAGCGGCAATAGCAGCGTCAGCAGAAGCGATTTGCTGCTTTCTACGCATATATATATATATATGTATATATATATATACAAATATATATATACAAATATATATATATATATATACATGCATGTTTGCGCATGCAGTGGCTGAGAGGCGGAGACAAGCAGCAGCGCTAGATATTTGTTTGGGGCTCACTGGCGCCCTTCCCACCTCCCCATCACCAGAAGAGCTGGTTCCTGTTCACGTGAGTAGCCACACGGCTAGCTAGCTAGCTAGCTAGCTAGCTTCCTGGCTAGCTGACTAACTATCTGTCTAGATAGCTGGCAAGTCGGCTAGCTAGTCAGCCAGATCACTTGCTATTGCCGGGCTAGCTATCTAGCTAGCTAGCCAGCCAGGCATTAGCAAGTGCTTGGGCCCCTTTGCCTAGGCCTCAGCGGCATTGATTGCAAGTATTAGGCATCTACTATCAGCTAGCCAAGCTGCTGGGTGGCTAGCTTCCTCCCCGGGTGCAGCTATCTAGCTCACTGGCATCGACGGGAGTGCGCGTTGCTGCTCCTACTGCTGCTGCTGCTGCTGCTGCTGCAGGCGGTGGCTGCTGTTTGCCAGCGGCTTTCCGAAGACACGGAGAAGGAGCTGCAGCCTGTCTTCGGGCGTCTGGTGGGTTGGTTTGTTGCTGCAGCAGGTAGTATTATATGCTGCTGAGGAGACAGTGTGCTGCACTTGTTTGTGGAAGCGGGGCTGAGAGTGCTGCTGCTGCTGTGCTGCTGCTGTGCTGCTGCTGTGCTGCTGCAGCTGTGCCGCGCAGCGCAGCACTTGCCTTCGTTGGGGGAGTTTTTGTCTTGTGTTGTTTTTCCTTCGCTGATCGCGCGAGAGGTTTGTCTAGCGGTGGTTTAGGGTTTGAGGGTTTAGGGTTTGAGGGTTTAGGGTTCGCAGCAGAGGAGACAGGAGACAGACAGCTAGGGCAGGAGACAGCAGCAGCCAGCAACGCAGCAAGAGAGACAAAGAGAGACAGCGAGAGCGACAGCATTAGACAAACCTTCATCTGCGCGATACCCAGCTCCACCATTACTGCAGCAGAGACACTGCAAGCAGCCAGACAGGAGACAGTTTAGAGACAATGCCTCTTCCCTGTCTCCTTTGAATAGGCAGCATGAAGACAGACAGAAGTACTAAGCAAGACAGGGAAGAGACAGCAGCAGCCCTTCCACAGCCTGTCTCCTTTTTTGTGTGCAGCAGCAAACAGCAACAATCTCCCATACAGTTGGGGTGTACGTACACCCCAATTGTATGGATATGCAGCAGCAGCAACTCATCTACCTGCTGCTTGTTGTTTGCTGCGCCTCTGTCTCTCTTGCATGTGCAGGCCTGGCTGTCTCCTTCACTCTGGAAAGGAGTCAGCATCGCTGTGGGGGCCCTCTGGCCTTCGCATAGCGAAGCGCTGCTGCAGCACATACTCAGACTGCCCCAGTAAGACTACTTGCATGCATGCATGCATGCATGCATGCATGCATGCAGCTGCATGCAGTAGCAGCCCTTCACAGATTCGTCTCTCTCGGCTTCTGTTACGTCTATGAGTTTCTACAGTCCCCTCAGTTTCCTGCACTGCCTGCTGCAAGGCTAACTGCTGCTGCTACTGCTGCTGTTGCTACTGCTGCTGCTGCTACTACTGCTGCTGCTGTTGCGTGTCCTCAGGGAGGCGGGAAAGCCGCTGCTGCAGCAGCTGCAGCAGCGCCTGCCGATTGCAGCTGAACTATCAGCTCTTCTGGCGCAAGACCCTGTAGTGCGTTGCTGCTGCTGCTGTTGTTGCTGTTGCTGCTGCTGCTGTCGGGAAAGGGGGAGGAGGCACTGAAGGGTGCTGCTGCTGTTGCTGCTACCGGGGGATGTGGCATCTGGAGACTGTTGCTGCTGCTGCTGCTGTTCTCTATGCAGGCCCGGCAGCAGTGCCCCCCTTACCTGCAGGTCTTGCTGGGGCTGTCGAGTTAGTGAAGTATACTGGCAGCTTTCAGCAGCAGCGGCTTAGAAGCATTTGCTCCTGCTGCCTAGAGCAGCAGCAGCAGCAAGCCACGGGTGTCTCCTTCGGGAGGGCACCGCAGGGTTGAGTGTTTTTGTTGCTGCTCCCGTTGCTGCAGTCGTGTTCGTACCGCAGCAGCAGCAGCAGCAACAGCAAACCATTTTTAGCTTTTGTCTCTGTATAACAGCGCCCTGCGTGCGTCTCTGTGTCTCGAAGACTTCCCAAGTCGCTGCGGCTACACCGCAGCAGCAACAGCAGCAGCAGCAGCAGCAGCCCCACAGAAACAACTACTGCAGCAACTACTCCTTTAGATAGACCAAACAGCAGTACAACATATTCCTTTATATAATAAATCCAAAGAAAAAAACAAAAGCGACATCCCGCGCTGCGGATGCTGGTGCTGCCCCAGCACTAGGTGCTGCTGCTGCAGCACAACTTGCTGCTGATACGGCATAGCTTGCTGTTGCTGCAACAGAACATGCTGCTGCTGCAGCACAACTTGCTGCTGATACGGCACAGCTTGCTGATGCTGCAACACAACTTGTTGCTGCTCCAGCACACCTTGCTGCTGCTCATATGGGCTTGCTGCTGCTGCAGCAGAACTCGCTGGTGCTGCAACACAACTTGCTGGTGCTGCAACACTTGCTGCTGCTACGGCACAGCTTGCTGCTGCTGCAACACAACTTGCTGCGGCTGCAGCACAACTTGCTGCTGATACGGCACAACTTTCTGCTGCTGCAGCACAACGTGCTGCTGCTACGGCAGAGGTTGCTGGTGCTGCAACACAACTTGCTGCATCTGCAGCACAACTTGCTGCTGATGAGGCGGAGCTTGCTGCTGCTGCACTTGGCTGCCGGCGCCCCTGCTTGACCTGTCCCCCCGAGAGGTTTGTATGGGGAAGCAAACTCTCGATAGGCTCTTCATAATATTTTCTGCTGTACTCTGTTGAGGCTTAGCCCTACGAAGAGCAGAACAGCAACTCGGAGGGCTGCCACAGCTGCACTTTGTTGTCAAACGAGACACTTGCTCCCATCAGGGCCTGCCTCAAGTGATGCACGCTTGTGCTGCTGCTGTTGCTGCTGCTGCTGCTGTTGCTGCTGTTGGGGGGAGGCACCTGCGCTGTCCGCCAGCAGAAGTCTGCTATTGGGGCGGAGTGCCCTGCATGCACAAACAAAAGTCCTGGGGGCCCCTTGGGGCCCCTCCTCGTTGCGCTGTCTGCCCCTCCATCAGCCTGCATCTCCTCACCTTCCTGATGCTGCTGCTGCTGCGGCTGCTGCTGCTGCTGCTGATTTGTACTGGCCGCCACAAGGTCCCATAGAGCCACTGTGCCATCCTCAGCAGCAGCACCCAGAAGGAAGCCAAACTCAGGGTGGAAGCGCACGGCGCTAATGGAGACACCGGAGAGAGGAGTCTCCTCAGCAGCAGCAGCAGCAGCAGCAGCAGACAGAGACAGCAGAGGACAACGGAGACAGCGCGTGTCAAAGAGAGACACTTTGCCCGAGGCATCGCCCACCGCAAAGACACACGGCTCCTGGGGACTCCAAGAGACTGCATTAGCTGCTGCTGCTGCTGCTGCTCGCGCTGCAGCTGCTTCCTCCTGCCGCCAATCCAGCAGCAGGCAGCTGCCGTCCTCAGCAGCAACGATGGCTAGCTCCGGATGGTGCGGGTGTTGTTCAATCTCATTTAAAGAGACTCTTTCTTGAGTGTCTCCTTTGATGGTGTATAGACGCAGAGGAGACACCTGCGGAGTCTTCGCTGCAAGCTGTACCCCGTCAGGCGCAACGTCCCCTGGCTTAATCCCCCCAACGCTGCTGCTGCTGCTGCTGTTGCTGCTGTTGCTGCTGCTGACGTCCCACAAGCAGCATATGCCTGCAGAATCTGCAGAGGCAAGGCGGCTGTTGTCTGCTGCACTCCAGCTCAGCCCTTCTACAGAGGCTGCCCCATGGGCTAGCAGCGCCATTTGGGGCTTAGCGACGTTGGGGCCCCCGGCATGAGGGGCCATCCCCCCCCCAGCAGCAGCAGCAGCAGCAGCAGCAGCAACGGGCGCGGGGGATGTTGGAAAGGAAGGGTGTTTGCTGTAATCCCAGAATAACACCAAACCATCTGGAGTGCAGCTAGCGATGTGTAGAGGGTTAAGAGGACGGAGACGAGCGCGAGAGACAGATCCAGGGTGTACAAGCAATGCCTTTACCTCAAGAGGAGCAGAAGAGACAGACACAGGACCACCCCCACGGCTGCACTTGCTGCGAGGCGCCGTGAAGCCTGAAGCACAAGCAGCAACAGCAGCAGCAGGAACAGCAGCAGGACATACGCCACGCGAAACAAACAACGTACCCAACGAAACAAACTACTCCTCCACACCTCATGCAGCAGCAGCAGCAGCAACCACAGCAGCAGCAGCAGTAGCAGCAGCAGAGACACACCTGAGTAGGTTTCACAGAGGATGGGGTCAACCTCCATAGAAGGGGGGGGAACCCTCGTTTCTGCCTGCACTAAGAAGTTTTGCTCGCTGCCGTCTGTTGCAGTACCCAGCAGCAGCCGCACAGCCCCTGAAGAAGACGAAGCCTGCGCTGGAGGAAAGCATTCCACCTGCAGCAACAGCAGCAGCAGCAACAGCAGCAGCAACAGCAGCAGCTGGATGGAACGAACATGCTGAAGCAGGAGGAATCGTACTCTTCTAAAACTGCTGCTGCTGCTGCAGCACAACCCCACTCGCGTGGCGCCTCGCGGTGCAGTTGTTGGGCCCAAACCCTCAACAACACCCTAAAGAAGACGGGTCTAAACAATGAGACGATAAACCCTAAACCCTAAACCCTAAACCCTTACTGTCATGGAGGGCCAATCGAACTTGTGGCTTAGAATGGTGTCGTAGAAGAAGGGGGCATTCTTTCTCCACACCAAATGCCTTTCCTCCATCTGCTGCTCAATGCTGCTGCTAGTGCATGCAGAGCATTCAGCGCCCACGGTGCTGCTGCTACTACCCGTACTGCAGCTGCTGTTGCTGCAGCTGCATGTGTTGCTGCTGCAGCTGCATGCGTTGCCGTTGCAGCCGCAGCTATCGTCCAGCGGCATTGCTGCCGCCTGCAACAAAGGCGACGCCATGTCCTGCTGAAATCTGCGGGTGGGAACTGCTGTATCTGCTGCTGCGAGAGAAGCGTGTGCTTCCGTCTCTGCTGCTGGGACTGCTGCTGCTTGCTGCGGTGCAGCAGCAGCAGCGGGAGACCGCTGGATCTACGTAGAAACGAAGAGCTGAGCTCGTGGAGGCCATGCGGGAAAACTCTTGAAAAACCGTTTTTCTGATTAGAACTACAGAAGGTATAAAGGAAAAAGGAAGGCAAAGTTGTGTGCCTTCAGCAAACTCAGCAGCAAAACTCCCAGCATCATAACAACGACCCCACCCATGCAGCAACATGCATGCATGCTGCTGCTGATCCTGCTCCCCCCAATCTGCTGTTATGTATCTGCTGCAATCTTCTCTTCCTTTCCGTTCATAGAAAAAAGTAATGGTATATTCGTTTCCTCAATCTTGAAGCTATAGACAGCGTTGAGTAAGACATTGTCTTATATCCAGCATATACACACTTCCTCCCTCTTCCTGTTGGATTAACTGCCTGCTGTAGAGAACAGCCACTAGGGGCTGCTCAGTAATTTATTTTCCAGAAAATGTGTGAAGAAATTTGTGAAAACATCCAAAGAAACTCCTGAAACTTAGTTCTAAAGGACAACCTTCAGCGACCCCCGTTATCGATGCCGATCTATTTTCTTTATTTAAAGCTGCGAAACGAATCCTGTTCTTTTTGGTTTTTTATACTCATTGCAATAAAGATAACTGCATGGATAATTCTGGAGGCATGCAACTCCATCAAGGAGCTGCGCTGCTGCTGCATCATCATGAATCTGCACGAGTATCGGGCGGCTTGTTTACTGTACACCGCACCACTGACACAGTACGGGCTGGCGATTATCTCTAATCAATGCATGCAAACTTCCCGAAGCTACAGGGGGAAAATTGCAGGCTTAATCGACACCCCCGGTTGCACAGACGCTACAGAGAACTCGCAGCTGCCTCGAGTTGAAAGTGGGTCTTTGGCATTCACTTGAAGCACCACATAGTTTGCGGGGCTTAAAAGGGTGTTTATTGAAGTTTATCTTAGATGTGGATGCCCTCGCGGCCCATGTCGCCGTCCGTCTACCTGCGTGAGTGAATGCTGTATGCGTGCAAATCAACTGTCCCCAGCACTGCACGCTAGAATCTGCATGAATTCTGCACACCCCCCCAAATGTAATGTTAGTTGTGAGGCTTCTAAGTAGGTTCTGAAGAGAAGATTTTGCCGTGTTTTCTAAGAGACAAACCAATTTCTCAGGCGATCTTCCTACTCATAGGACCGCTCTTCGTTGGGTTGCAGCTTGTAAAGTAGTGTGCACTTCGCTAAGCAGACACCCGAGGGAAACTGCAACAGGGAAGCTTCATCGGTGCAGCAGTAAGGCCCACCTTAGGCAGTGCAGGCTCTAAACAGCATATACAAGCTGTGCATTTGTATGCTGATAATGTTGTTCTATACCGTATGAGGGACTGTTAAGCTTATTCTCTCCTTTCCATACAGGTCGTCCTGCGCGCATATCCACGAAGTGTTGCATGCCATGGCGGAAGAGGATTTTCGTGAGGTTCTTTTCCACCTAATAAAGCGAATTCCAACTCAAGAGCCTCACAGGTGCTGTCGTCAGGAAACCTGGGCCTGTATAGTATATCGATGAAGAGACTTGTAGCAGAGCCACAGCAGTGCTCTCTTATCTTATCTGAGAGTGCATGAAACGCACGACTACATATATAACTACTTCACGCAAGTGAAGCACTTGCTCAGTATGAATGTGGTCGTGCCCTAGGAGCCCAAACCAAAGAGATACGAAATTAAATCAAGAGCCCAACCTTCGGCGATGAATGAATCTTGTAAAAGAAGGTGAAAGAAACTGTTGCCGCCACAACTGCGAGCCCTCTTGACTTCCCCAAGGCTGCAATTCAAACAAAACCAACAGCAGGTTGCGGCAAGGTTCTGGATCAGCCACTGTGGCAAACCCCAGCTAACCACTCCAGCTATGTGTAAAACTGCATTCATGATGTTTGAAATTGCCATTTCAGTTCGTGCAAATGCCAGATGCTTGGAGCCCCAGGCTGGGATGTCAGTGCCGTTTGCTAAACTAGGTTTTGTCGCAGCTACCTCTCTATGAAAATTGATCTCTAGTTGCTAAAATGTCGCTTCTGAAGCAACAAAGGGATAGTAGGGCTTTAGCAGGGCTTAAACAAGTTCGTCTGGTTGAAGATAGATTGATGGGTTGGCTTGTCCTTGCTTGACCTGTGAAGGAAGAAGCAGCTTCCAAAGTACACGAAGCAATTGCCTGGCTTCCTCCACACGGTGCATTTTGCCACGTGCCTCATCTGCAGAGCTCCTGGGAGGCTCGAAGGAATCTTGAGATTGTACTTAACTGGACGCTATATAGTTGAAACGAAGGCTATGGGGTGTACACCGGTCCTGATGGCTCTTAGTTATACCCCAGTGCGCATGCGGTTAAATGAATCTACGCTTCGGCTAGCTTCTGGGGTGTACTTACGTGTTTTTCACTTTTGCTTATGTATCTGTGTTTTTGATTGCTCTTTGCTCGTGCGCAAGCTTTTGTATCAGCAACGTCGTTAGCTGTGTCGTCGTATTGGTAAGACGGAGATAAATCACGGTAGTGGAGTTCGCCTTCTCTTGGGTTCGTTAGTGCCTGAGTGAGCTGGTACCCTATTTGATCGTGTACATGTGTTCATTCCGTGCCAGAATCCATCCTGACTCTCACCCTAGCAGTAAATATATCAATTCGCTTCGTGCCCACAAGCTGTGCACACGGGTAAGCAGCAGTTCAGCCTGCTCACGCACTAAGAAACCCAAACGGAAGTACGGAACACTGCCACTTTTTCTTGTCGTTGCGTACATAGGACTGAATCGCTTAATTATGCCTCTTCATTCAGTGGCAAGTTCGCATCCTGACACTCCCCCAACAACCCAAATGGACTACGCCAAACTAATTTGTCGTACATCGTCTTACCGTGCAAGCGATCACACGATATAGATATCAGAGACGAAATGAGGCAGCCTCAAGGTCCGCTCCATTTGCCTTGTAGGGAATGCCAGTTGTATTTGTTGGTGCCGTTGAATACGACGATCATAGGAAATACATACGCTGCGTTCGTGGGGAGTATCCTTGCAGCTTCTACTCCAGAACAGAAACTCAGAAAACAGCAAAAACAAAAACCTTCGCTGCTTTTCTATGTGGTCCAAGGACTTATAGGGCCCCAAATCCCCAGCTGGCAAAGCATACACCCTCTCAGTTTCAGTAGTTATTCCTGCTACCCACTTAGATGCAGCATTGTTCTTCGCTTGATGCGTGATTAGAGAATTCAGCAGGCGTGGGTTTCACCTCGCAGCGACAAATTGAACAGGTGATCTGGTAGTGTCCGAACTTCGAGACACAGTCAGGATCGCTCAAGAATCACTTCCTCCTGGTTCTCCTTTTTCCTAAATATTCAGCGTTAATTCATGCAAATTTACTGGATGAAATAAGAGAAGGAGCGCGGGTTTCGCGCTGAGGTGCCCCACCAGCGGAGTTGTTCCCGCTCTTCTGTGTCGTAGCAACCAAGCCTTCAGAAGGTGTTATATGGTTGTTTGGTCCGCCTTGTTTTGTGTTTTTCACGTTTGTTTAAGAATTTTCCGAGTTATTTTCCACTATTTTGCTCGCTAGGCGGGTTTGGGCCAATGGTCAGCCGCGGTTTCCCAGGTGTCGGCTGCGGCTGTTCTATACACACATTTCACAGGGCGGCAGCAGCAACTAGGCGATGTTGTTATCTGTTCGTCTGAAGTAAACACAATCGGTGTTTCTGAAGAATTTGTTGTTATTCCTACCTCTCCCAAAGGTAACAATCTGCCAGATTCACCGAGCAGCCCGGCGTTCGTATATCGAGACTTCTTTGGCAGTGGAAGGGCGTCAAGAATGGCCCGTCGAAGACAAGCGGGCAGTGAGAGGACCAGGGAAACACCTTCTGGGTTTGACGTAGCAGGGAACGGCCAGTATTTGAAGCATGAGTATTTGTCTGACGTGGATGTTTCCTTGTCTGAGGGATCAGCCCGGAAAGTGCGGAGGAAGATAAATTGGCAGTGTCGAACCAGGCTGCAGGGAGCATTAAACCGGAGGCGGATCCGTGGCAATGGGTGTTGGCTTCCCACCACAGCTTTCCAGCAGCAGCAGACGGAGAAGGGGTGAACGCAGGTACGCTTATCGCTGGAGTAGACATCGGCTGTGGAGAAGTTGATGCCCCCAGGTGGAATATGCATGTTCTTCCCTTTCCAGAGGGTAGGGAGTCGTTGAACAGAGCGGCAGATAGCCGGTACATGGTCTTGACGCTTGGATTGAAGATATCCGGGGGATGTTATATGAGCAGAACCTGCAAAAGAGTCCAGGGGAACTCCGATGCAGGCTGAATAAGATGATGAAGAGCTGAGCCGCTTCCTTCAACTGACGTCACGCTGTGCTTCCTGTTTATGGCTTCGTTAGACCTATCGGCTATTGCTGACGCCCTTAGTAACCGGCTGGCAACGGTAGATGAGGGTGTTCCTCCTGGAGAGGTTTGCATTTCAAGCATGCTTGAAGTGTCTTCGCGATTGCAAGCTGAGCCCGTCCAGCTAAAGGTGCACCAGTTTCTACCGTGAAAACATTCAACCAGCAGCAGGCAGATATGCTTATGTGGGAAGGTCAAATATTATTGAAGGGGTTTGTTTTAAACTCAGGGCTACCTGCCGACCGTTTTACACCAGTTCATGCCGGCGCATATTTGGGTAAACTCCTTTTGGCCTTTCTCTCACAGTGCGGTCTGTGCACATCCACCTCCTACGACGATTCATGGATTCACTTTCTTGGTGGGGAGGCTTTGCCAACTCGTTCGATACAGCCAACTGGTAATGTGTATCGCCTCGCCGGTGCATACCAAATGTGGATTTTTGCACGTTGCCGGTAACCCGGTTGCTTGCTGCTGAGCAGAAAAACGCGTCATACGCTTAAGGAGGTGGTGCCGCTGAGGGGAATGCTGGTTATTTCGGACTTTTCGCCCTTAGCGTTCATGCGTTCACGCGCGCCGCTTTCAAATAAGAGAGCTGGACCTTTTTAGAGAAGGGAGGGGGGTCAAAGTGAGAAGAGTAATGGAATTGAATGGAATTTGGTGAGGGCTGATAATAATCTCAAGGAAGTTCTATTTTTCAAGCGTCATTCAGCATATTGAAGGAGCCTTGACGAAATACAAAGACGTGGCCTATTTGTAACTGTTTGCGGGTGAAGAAAAACGTTCCATTGCAGAAACACGCTGTATTTCTCACTGAGAGAGTGCGATGCACTCAATTTAAAGCGGCCAATCCCTATAACTTCGAACAGATCACGCTCATTTGGGCCACCGCGCAGGTTCGTTACGGCCTGGCTAGCACAGCTCATCCGTATGGGCAGAACTACTAGGCAGCACAACACAAATAATCAACATAATGGTAGTCAAGGGTAACAAGTCCGTACGTAAAGCCCCTGCGCATACTTAACTGCAACGGCTCAGCGATGCAGGCCAACCCCTGGCTCTGCGGAGAAGTGAACCTTTTTTCTCGAAAAGTATTACAGCTCCAGTAGTTCACCGTTGAGTCCACCCTTTAGGCTCAGCACTGTACAGGACAATGCAGCAAAAATCCAGTATAGTTTAAATCCTTGATCACACCAGACTGCAACGTCCCAGCGATGCTAAAAACAACTGCCACATGTTGCTAAAAGGATTTCTTCGCTCGCTTTATGCGCCTTCGTTCCTGATGGAAGCAAATCCAGGTTTTGCGTAGCCATTGGTTTGTATAGGTTCTGCGCTTTCCAAGAACCCTCAACTTTCTGACGCTATCAAGCCAGTGGCTGCTGCCATGGGCGCTCTAGAAATCTCGTTTGCTCCGATTTAATGGCACTGACGAGAAGTATTCCCTTATTGGTAAGGCTAATCTTAATACTTCCGCAAGGCATTCCATCTACATTCCTTGAAGAACTTCGGAGACTCTGGAGAGCAAAACAGCATTGTCTTAAGCTTAATTATATCTTTATCTGCTGGGCGGTTTCCAGCGAAGAAGATTCCAAGCGCTTCATATAGCTGGTGTGCCAACCGTCTGTTATACGCAAAGTGTTTCCTTGTTTGCGGTGGCAAGAGCATAGTACGCCTTTTGCGAAAGGGTTCTATGAATTTGTCCCACCAGCTGGGAACATCCATTTGTTTCCCAAACAGCTGAATTGCAGAAGTAATAGCATCGAACGCCAAGAAGTAGATTCCACAGGCTGACACGGCATACACTGGCCTAATAACCCTGTGACGGACCTGTATCTGGTGCCAAAGTGAGCCTACTAAACCTTCTATCGCACCAATAAGCGCGTTCGCATCATCCTGTCCGAGTATTTCCCGCCTTAATAATTCGCAGGCAAGGTCCAGGAAACGAGTTGTATGCATTCTGGATTTGTATTTGCCGAAGACATTCGTCGTGTCCATACGCCTAACAACCACATTTCTCGCCAGCCTAGGAATTCGCGCGTATGGGTGGCTCTCATTATCCAGCGGATGAGCTTGGTGTGGCAGTCGCATCCTTCCAGCTGAAGTTGATGGTTCTTCATAATATAAATCGTCAGCACTGTGGTCAGGAATGTAAAGTTTCACCTGGTCATTAGGTTTATCAACCTCCTTGGGGATTATCGATGGGATTCCTTCTAACCACGCATCCGGGTCCAACCATAATGATCCGCCCAGCTTGTCACCACCAGTGGGAGGTGTAGACGATCCAGAAGAGGGCCCACTTGCTCCTTCATCATGGTGAGTGTGAGAGACGGTTTGAAATCCACTCGCCTGTTTCTTCTGTTCTTCTTTGGAAACTTCACCAATGTGGACACTGGACTGGGGGATCAGGCCCGCCTGTGACGAGGTCCCCTGCAGTGCTTCATAGTCGGTGGCAGCCCCCCTTAGCATCCAGAATAGTCCTTCGACCCCCCAAGTCGGGTCTGCGGCCGACTGTAAGGTGGCTCCTTGCCCCAGAATTCCCAGTTCGGTCTCCATATCCACGCAGGCTTCTAGGATGGACTGCTCTTCGTCGTCCGCACTGTCCCCGTGTTCAGATAGCCTACGACGTGTAACCCCTGAAAAATGTTTTCTATTTTGCAATGCCCCGCATACGGATACCATAACTAGGAACGCTGCAATGGAAATAATGCCTGCCAGTGAGAGCAGGAGAGGCCGAATCTGCGAACGTGAGCGGGCCCAACGGTGCTGGGGAATGCGCCCAGCTACCATTGAAAGTTTTTCTGCTTCTTCATTCCGTGCACGTGGGGGCGAAAATGTGATTGTCGTGTCATTTCCAGCCTGACTTTCGCTGTGCGAGACAGAGGGCAGCATCCCAGGGCTACGGAAGTCGCTCCCCAATCGAGATGAAGGCAAACTCAGAGATATTTCCCTATTTATCACAATTTCTAGAGCAAGCTAGAAGGATTATGGAATTATGGAAGAGTGGGTCATCTTCAACGCAAAATGACAGCAAGCTAAGTGTGCTTTAGAGACGTCCCTATCTATCTGTTGCCTTGGCAACGCCAGAGCACGTGCAACAAGAGAAGTCACATACCCCAGATGTGGCTGTACAAAAGACCTCCTTTAACGATATTAGTTGGCTCTTTACTAAGCCAATTTCTAAGTAGAATGATGCTTTGGAGGGCTGCTTATTAAAAACGGTTTAATGCGAGGAGCGGAAGGTGATCTAGCTGGGGCATGGTATCGTTGGCACATGCACTGCCCTACGGGTGTGCCTGCTGCGTACTAAGGGCGAAGTAGGCGTTTTACACTTGCCTACAGTGTTAGTGTTGAAATTTCAGGGCCTTCCTGTTTCTTGTACCCTTTAGCGCTATGCGGCGACGGGATAACTACATTTGTTTTCAGTACCATGCCCTCATGTGCGGTCCCCAATATTGGCGTACTGCACGGAGAACAACAACCTCTAGTGCAGGTTCGGGCCGGCTTAGTGGCCGATAGGAATAGCAGGAAAAAGAGCAACTGCACCAACTACAACAGAAACAGATCCCACTGCAGCGCCTTCAATGCAACATGCGAAAGACACTACCCGCATCGCTGCGAAGAGGTTCGCGATGTTAAGGAACTTCAGCGGCAGGAGCAGTACCAGCGGCAGTGGCAAGGGGAAATTGCCTGCCGAGCTCGGAAGCGCACTAACATCTCCATTTTTTTATAAACACGATTTTACATGTATTATTTACACCCGCAATTATTGTCTGTTAATCGGCGAGCGCTCGAATCACCGAGCAGGTCGTTCTTCTTTACCTTACATACCGGGGGAGCAACAAAAAGCGTTAATCTAGCTAGGAAAAATATTAAATAATTGAATATGATAGTGTTACTATTAGATTTAATATGTAAATGATGGAAAAAGATTAAGGTTCCAAGAACTCCTGCGGGCTTTGCGAAGTCCTCGACTTCAGAAAGCTCTCCACGAATACTTCATTGTATTGCTTGTACAGCTTGACAGAGCATCCTCTCTTGAAGGAAGACAGCCTTCCATAGCTGTATACTTCTCTTATGTCGAACTCGTCTGCTAACACCTCATTGTAGAGATATTCAACCTTCAAACAGAACGCAATGCTCTATACGAAACTGGGAGACCTCAAATGCAAGCGGAAGGGGCTCTGCAACTCTGTACGAACACAAAAAAGCAGCGGCGGCAACAGGGTCTTCTGCAGCACCAACAGCAGCAACAGGACCAGCACCAGCAGCGGGAGGAGCTGGTGGCGCTGTTGATACTGTGGGGGAATCGGAGCCTCAGAAGGCAGATCTACTAGCACACGCCGCAAAGGCGAAGCCTCACCACTGCTCCTGCTCGTTGCGCTGCTGTCATACGCTGCGGATGTGTATGGAAGAAGCAACAAATGTATGTAGGGGCACACCTGGTGCTGTCAGTGCGCTTGCAGCAGAAGAAAAGGAGACGCAGCCGAGCTGTGCATGTATCTGCTCCGACTGAAAACAGAAGGTAACGGCCCCAAAGGGGGAAAGCAAATACTTCCGGCAAGGCCTAAGGAGACCGGCAGCAGCATTGAGCAAGCTTTCTACTACCGTCCAAGCTCGAATAGCAGACGCACAGCGGCATGCAATACACTTACATCATAGGCAAGAGTTAAGGAACAGGCATCAGCACAGAGCAAACCTTCTAGTACCTTTCAAACTGGTAAAGCAGTCACCCAGCGGTACTGAAAGCAAAAACCATACATAAGGCACAGACGCAAGCACGGGGACCGGAAAACAAACAATAAAAGCAGAAAATAAACAGACGAACCAGTTTCAGCTAGTAATTTACGCAATAGAGTCACAAAATGCGTAGAGGGATCAAATCCAGCACATGAGGCATTGTGAGTTGAAATCCTTTCTGACTCACAGGGGGTTAAAGAATGCCCCGGGGAGCGCGGTGACGGAAAGCGGAGACGAGGTGGAGAAGGAAGAAAAGGCAAGGACAAAGAAGCGTGAACCGGCGGCAGTGGTCACGTTCAAGCGGGACCAGGGAGTAGCCGAACCAGCAAGAGCATCTCCAAAACGCACAAGCCCGACGAACTCGCAGAACAGGAAAACGCCTCATGTACAAGTTTCTGTCACACAGCTAGCAGGAACAGTTGGCCCTCAAGTAAGTCAGCGCTGAAAGCCAGCTCGCACTCAAAGCCTCCCACTTTGATACCGTGAGCGGTCCTTTTGGCAACTTCCGAGAAGCGTAAGCAACGCAGAACCCTGGACGTTTGGTGCTCGTTCATCCTGAACAAATGAGAAGCGATCATTCCCGAGTGGCCCCTCTTCGCCCATGGTGTCATTGACTGCGTATATCTGCCCCTCAATACCTCCGGGGAAAGCCTACAGCCACACAAGATTCTGGAGATCAACAGGGCACAATTTCGCTGAGGAAGGCTTTGAAACAGCCGCCAAAATCGAAGAGAAGGCGAGCACGGCGAGGTTGTACGAACTGTTCTTCAAGAACCTCAAACATGAATTCTATGAGTAGAGCTCCACTCGAAAGAAGGCTGCGGAGCAGCTGCTTTTCCACAGCAGGAAGTGAGGCAACAGCCCTCTCCTCTGCCTCCCTGGGACACCACGCTTATAGGGGAGTATGTTGCTTGCTGTTGGGGGGTAGATTGATGCAGCATTGTCTGTCGGAACTTGGTACGTACAATTTTACTTGGGAGTAGGCTGGCTGCTAAGGGAAATGTACATTCTCAACGACTGTCTACGGTTTTAGGCCATGAGTAACTACGGTTCCCGATCTTATCCCAGGACCTCCTTGAGCAGCAATCGAGCCACAATACTCAAGGCGGGAGTTCCTAAAACACAGCTGACCACCTTTCCAATCCACAAAAGTTCTGGGCAAAGCTACCCAACGGCTTGGGGGTGGGGGAAAAGAGTCGGCATGGCATGATTTGGAATGCCCCGCGTTGCAGCAAGGGTTGCAAGGGCATCTTCAAAAATGTGCGAGCAGAGCCGAACCCCCTTTTGCTGTGTGCCCTTAAATTGCAGACACTTGTTGCTTCTGCGCGCGTGCAGGCTGATGAGCAAGGCCAAGCAAGTTTCCATGTACCAACGTCAAGCAGATCACCCTACACACCTCTGGAACTTGCTGCAACTAATGCTGCAAGGCAGCCCCACACGCAAGCGCAAGCAAATCCCCCTTTTTGTTCACGTTATAACTCTATACAAGGCTGTATAATGCTTTCGTAGCCCCTGGTGGGCAGTCTGCACGCCAGTAGAGGTACAAATATCAACTGCAAACAGACCACTAGGCGCTGCTTGAGGGGAATGTTTACTATAACTTGTTTGGATGCTTTGAAGCTCACAATAATCCTCCGTTGGGAGTGTGAACTCTTGTTAAATCACAACACAGGGTCCAACCAGCAAGCAAGAAGAAACAGAACAAACAACTTCAGGAAGGCCATCCTTCAGCCGCACTCGACTACCCGAGCCTTAGCCGGTACTCCAATTGCCTGCCAATGTCTCGTACATCATTCTAATTCATATTTACCTTATTAAGTGACCAAGTAGTAGATGAGACATCATTAAGAAGGCTCCATTGTGCAGGCTCGCCGAAGATGAACGGATGCGCTATGCGCTCCGCTGGTAGCGCAGCTGCTGGTACTCGACGATAAGGCACGGCTGTCCAGGGATGCTACCCTATAAAGATGCCCCAGTAATCAACACTGCCGTATTATTTCTGATGCATAAGCAGTGACAAAGGAAACCTTTCCTCCAATTTTGCCTCCACCTCCGTCGAGGAGCCACTTCCTTAGCTGAGGGATGCTGCCCACTGCCTTGTATGACAAGGAGCAGCCTGGAGGACAGCAAAATGGCACGACGCCAAAACTTCCGCCTCCACATATACAAAAGAAAGAAGCAGAGGAACTTTCAATAATCTTAACTCAAGATGCTCGTCAGGACGGTTGGTCCCGCCCGCAGCCGCAGAATCCGCCACTCCTGCTCACACTCGCAGCGATTATTTCCATTGCAACCTTTTTAACTGTGGTAACCTTATGCCTTGCATGGCATAAAGGAAAACATGTTTCAGGTATTACACGTCGTAGGCTATCTGAACAGGGGGACAATGTGGACGAAGAGCAGTCCATCTTAGAAGCCTGCGTGGACATGGAGGTCGAAATGGGGTTTATGGGGCAAGGAGCGACCTCCCAGTGGCCCACAGGCCCGACACATGGGGTAGAAGGAATAGCTTCGATGTTAGAGGCAGCTGCCAATGAGTTTGAAGAACTGCAGTGGGCCTTTCCGCCATGGGCAGGAGCTGCCGACCCCCATTCTACCTTGGACTTAGTCCAAGAATACATAGAGCAGCAACAGATGGGATTTCAAAGTGCATTTCAGACATTTGATAATGATGCAGCAAGTGGGCTCACAGCTCAGCCGTCTGCACCTCTTCCGTTTCATGATCCTTTGGACGAAGCCGGAGCTTCTTTAGATCCACAGGCGTGGTTAGGTGAAATCCCACCGATAACAAGCGGGCCTGATTATCAACAGAATACCGAGCTGGCGCCTTCAGTTACTGCCGAGCCGGATGATGAAGGTCCGTCAACTTCAATTTTGACACAGCTACTGCTTCGTGGCCCCAACCACGGGCCACCGGATATTAGGGAACACCCGCATGTGCGGGTCCCAGTTCTGGAGGAAGGTGTAGTTCCTAGAAGTTTCGACGCAACGAATCTCTTTCAGTCCAAGCGAAAGAAAACGCAAACTTATCCTTACCTGCTCTATTTGAGACAGTTGTATACACAGACAACACTCAACCAGGAGGACGTGGACACGCTCGTAACTGCGTTGGAAGGCTTGGCAGGAGCAGCATGGTGGCAGGCGAAGAAAACCCCCCGGATAAATCGGCCGGTGGTTGCTGCCGAAGCCTTTGGGAACTATATGTTGGTTTTTGACGCGATTGTGAGTGCAAGTCAAATTTTGGGGGACGCAATGAATCTTTCCTTGTGGTGGGAGCAATTCATAAGTGGCTTCATCGAATTTCCGCCTTTCCCACCCGTTAGCCAACGATCTGGGGGGATTTACAGGAAGCTGGCAACTCTCTTAGCTGATGCGATGACTGTCTACAAAAAAGGATGTCGCCCACCACTTGAAGACGTAATTAAGCTGAAAACTATGATTTTTCGACTTCCAGATGCCCCTGGGGATTTCAAGGGACGGCGATGGGATCCTTGGCGTGAGGATGCAGCGGGTTCTAGGAAATGAGGCATCTCTCGTCAATATTTCCAAACCCAGCAAAACAAGGTTTGGAGGAAGCGTATTAGAGACCTCGTGTTCCTGAAGATGCAAAAGACGATGTTGAGCAGCCATTGATTCGCTAGCGTCAACAGATAGAGCCCAAAGGAAAGACGCAAGGGCTCGTCAACACAGCGGCAATAGTTTTCTAGTAAACACTTTTAGTAACTGTCAATTTGACTAATTTTTTTCGCATCGCGTAGCCGTTCCAATATGGTATGCGCAGGGTTGTACATACACCGGAGCTTAGCTGTTGAGTATAATTATGTTGATCATTCGCGTTGCCCTGCACATTGGCGAGCCAACAGCCAACAGGGGGGACGCAAAGATGCGCCATCAGAGCGTGAAGTTCTATCACTACTTTGAGGCAGGATTGATTTTTGTAGCGCTGAGCCTTTGAGGTCTCGTTTGCACTGGACTTCCGCTCTTCTGCATCATCGTTTTGATTACGTGCGTTGCCATTCAGTGCTTATGTCCATGGAGTCATCCTGTGCTACGCAAACTGACGAAGTTGTTCCTGGCGCAAGTGCGCGTGTCCTGACTAGCGACAGGGACAGATCCGTTTAGGATTGCGAGTATCGCGATGTCGTGCAGTGAAACAAGGTGCGCCCGCTAAATTGTAAAAACAACATTAAGAGAACATTTCTCCTTCCTGCAGCGCTCACCGACTGCAACTAATAGGATGACCTACGAATCGGTGTTCCGCGCGTTGTTGGCTGGCTAGAGTTTAGGCAGCGACTGTGACTTTGTTTGCACAACTTGCAAGCAAAGTACAGGGTTCTGGCCAAGAAGCGGATGCATCAAGTGTTTTCGGGTGAGCGGAAGCGTTTATTTGCAGACTCAACTTACATAAGGGCACGAGATTGCGATATTCGCAATCAATGCCGGACGAGAA